GAAAGAGTATGGGGTGGGCAAGGAGAATGAACACATGGTTGTCTGGTGTAATTAAGAAACTGAAGTATTAGAACAGGCAGTGCCTTCACCAGCTATAATTCATCAAACATGGTCTTAATTAAATTGTTTACACAGATGTCTGCAAACTGGTTCCTGCAACAGTCATGTCATTATAACAACACAGTATTAATATTGGACTCATAAGAAAAGTTTTGTATGGCTCTTCACTACACCATAAAATAAAGAAATGAATTCCTATTTGAGATTTACTACTTCAAACCAGTCTCTTTAGAAGTTGCTAAGAAAAAGCTCCCATTGTTTGGAGCAGCAGCTGGAGGGGCACTAATATTTATATATGAAATACCTCACTGTCAACACACCACTGAATCTTGGTAGGTAACTGCTACTGTGGGTGTTTATAGTTCTCTTTGATGTATTCATTTCATGACTTCAGAGTATCTTTAGCAAGACCTGAGATTTGAAATGGAGCAAGAGTTTTGTTTAATTATGGGATTTTTCATGAGCATACAAACTTTTTGGTCATGTTAGCGAAACAACTCCACATACAGTTCAGTCAATGGGGCTCCAGAGAGAAGCAAAGGCTCATGGCTGCTTCCCATTTTAGTGGGTTAACAAAACACTGAATCTTTAAAGTCTGAGTCACGCCCTATCAGGGGCATAGGAGGGTTGCAACTGCTGTCTCAATCACTCTCTTTTATTAGCCCAGACCAGACCAGTGGTCTGTCTGCTGTCATTCTCAGTGTTATCAGGGATTAAGGGCTTGCTGTTTTTGACCATCCTCCCCCTGCCTGGTCAGACAGATTTAAACAAACAATCTGAAGATCTCCACAAAATACAGGCATGCAAGCACACACTCACCCAGACACACATTGAGAGGGAAGCGGCTACCCATTGGAGTTAGAAGGGAATCACTGATTTCAGTATAAGTGATTTGCTGGATATAGTTTTTTATATAGATCAAGTGAAGAGAATAATTATCTTCAAAACTGTTTTTTTTTCTTTTTAATAAGCTGGAGAAAGAAGAACGTGACCACAAGCTAACGACACACAGCCATGACATTTTCTGTCTTTTTCTTTTGTTGGCTGTAGACTGGCCTGATTAAAGTAGATATTGCAAACTTGCAGGATTAAAATATATATATATATACAGTATATGAACTTTTTGGTGGGCAGAATGGCAGTAACTATCAACAGTAATGCAATATCACCACCTCACCCCACCCCAAAAACAATGGGCATGAGAGAAATACTTGGAAGGTTCCATATATGCTCTTTCAGTATAAATATCCCCTTTGGACTCTTTTCAGAAGACGACAAATTAGCTGTCACCTTTTACTAGCATTTGGCTTCAAAAGCACAGAGAAGAGAGATAATGATCATAGGCTAAGGACAGCTACACATACACATTTGCACACTGAAAAAAATCTGTCCAAGGACTTCATGATGTAGATGGACAGATCAAGGGGGACTGGTAAGAAGCTGAAAAAGAATAAATGTGATTATTGCATGGCAGGCTTTAGCTGTCTTAAACCAAATTGATAAAGTGTATATATGCATACAATTAAAGTCTCTACTGTATGATTAAAATTTTGGCAAAGAGCCACACATCCTATATATACACTCTCTCTCCTGTAAATGAAATGAATGCTACATTGGTTAATTTATCATTCACTGAAGGGTATTACAGAGCAGTCGTCTGCATAAAGCCAAGTGACATATTATGTATTTATAAAATAGACACATAATGGAATTGCCTTGCTTGCTTTCACCTTGTAACCCTTAAAAATATATTGTATGGAGGTGGGCATGGGAGCACAAAGACAATAGACACATTTGAAATACACAGGATGGTGCCAGTTGCATCTGAATACCTAGTATTTTTGATTAAAGCAATGTAATTGGTGTAAATTACAAAAAGAGGCATGCAGGTTAATTTTAAAAATACCCTTTTATATTGTATAGAAAGTATCTAGATTTAATGGGAAAATGCTGTGATTGCTCTAATTACTGTAGGCACCCCCAGCAGGCAGCATATTTAATCCTATAGTTTATTATGGCAGTGAATGTATTTTACCATTTATTGGCTTAACTGGTTGACCTTTCCAGTACATAAGTCTTTAATAAAGCATTAATTAAGACTCCCTGTAGGCTCTGTGTGCGCTTGCCAGGTTCCTAAATATGGTAGAACATGCTAAGCTGCTCAGTGACAGGAGGGAAAATGCAAGCTATCAGTTTTCTGGAAAATGAGAATTTGCCAAAATCCCTAAACGAATCATTGAACACTGATACTATGTAAACACATCCCTCTTTTAAAAGGGTTTGACAGACATTCTCTCTCAAAAACTATAAAGTGATAACATATATTCTAAGGCATATTTTCTGCATTTTCCACAAGCCCTATCATCCCACTGTCTCCAAGGAGCATGCCCTTCTCTTAACATAAATTAATCCATAATAACAAGTCCCAAAGAGGGCTCATCCCTCCTGAGACCTCTGACATAAGGCATTAACTATTTGTGAGTTAGCTACAACAATGATCTGAAACAAAAAGCATTGTTCCAGCAGGCAGTGATCCCCGGACCTTCAGCAGTTAGAGAGTAAAGCTATTTTGGTCCATCTCCCATATGGGCTAATACGGCTGTGCTCTGATCCCTTTGTCCATCAGACAGACAGAACAGTTTTGGCCTAATGCAACTGGACCCTCACTAATGACAGCAAATAACACTGTCTGCTAGATGACAGCAGCTGAGAACAATACCTAATGCTGACATCACTTGCTATGTGGATCTATTTTGAGTTTCTTCCTTTTATAGTGTGCTACTGGAAATGGCTATCTCTTTCCCCTAGAGAAAGCACATATAAAAGCTTTGGAAGAGGAGTTGGCCCTTTGTGCTTGGGAATCGCTTTACTATTCCTATCCCTTCACACTCTTGCTTGTTTCTTAGAAAGTACAAGCTCGCCTCTCAATCCCTTAACAACATGCCACCAAAGAAGATCGAACCAAAGAAACCCGAGCTCAAAAAGCCAGAGCCTAAGAAAGATGCAGCTACAGCTGCTAAGCCAGCACCACGTCCAGAGCCACAGCCTGAGGCACCCAAGGAGCCCCCGTTTGACCCCAAGAGTGTCAAGGTTGAGTTCACCCCTGAGCAGATTGAGGAGTTCAAGGAGGCCTTCACCTTGTTCGACCGCACATCCACTGGAGAAATGAAGATCACATATGGTCAGTGTGGGGATGTGATGCGAGCTCTGGGCCAGAACCCTACCAATGCAGATGTGCTGAAAGTGCTTGGGAAACCACGGCCAGAGGACATGAGCACTAAAATGGTGGATTTTGAGACCTTCTTGCCAATGTTCCAACATATTTCCCGTGCCAAAGATCAAGGCAACTTTGAGGATTTTGTGGAGGGGCTCAGGGTTTTTGACAAGGAAGGCAATGGCACCATCATGGGAGCAGAGCTGCGTCATGTGCTGGCAACACTGGGAGAGAGGATGACAGAAGATGAGGTGGACAGACTGATGGCTGGACAGGAGGATGCCAATGGATGTATCAACTATGCATCCTTTGTAAAGCACATTCTCTCTGGGTGAAAGGGATATGTAACCACAAAGACTCAAGTTTACATTGGTTTTCCCCACTTTCTGGATCCTTGCTTAACATTTGTCCATTTAAAAATGAGCATGTCACTTACTCAGTGACAATTTTTATGCTGTCAAAAGTAAAAGTAAATGTTCTATGAAGAAATGTTGACTGCAAAACGTATGATTAATTCTTTTAATGAACATTAAACTATAGTGAAATGCCAATGAGATAATGTGGACATCCATAAAGAAAAACTCGTTAATAAAGGAAATGCCATTAGAAGTAGCTTCAAACATGTCAGTGTATTTCAGTGTACTCAACATTTTAATTTGAAGAGAAAATGCTGAATTTTGCAGGATTGCTGATAAAAGTGCTCATTTTATGTCTGTTCAGCTTTTCATATCAACGGTGTTAATGTGATTAGCACAAAGTATTGTTGGAGCAGAAGAAACAAATAGGATTTGGCTTCATCTAAAAATGGAGCAGATTTTTTCTATTCTTCTATACCACTTTACACAAAGAGTGTTTGAATGAGCGTGCTTGTCATTGTGCTTGAGGGGCAGCTGTTGTGGATCAAGATATACTCCCACACTGTGGACACACACACACACAAATCCAGTTTCATTTGACAACTACAAGACAGGTGCATCAAGGACAGACCTCCTCATCTCAATTGCAGTAGCTGACAGAATGAAAAACTAGCACTATCATATTATGTTACTGTTTAAGTTTTGAAATTTAAATATTTTGAAATTTATATAAAACAGCACTGCATTTGTATGTAAATTCACAGTATAAAAACAATACACTTAACTCAGGACATTACCTTATTCATATTTTATTCATTGTAACACAATTGGAGAGCAATAGTCCTAAACATCAAAAAACTTTAAAAAACTTTTAAAGCCACACTATGCGATTCTTGACCACTAGAGGGCACAATAGCCCAAACCAAATTCAGAGCAACGAGCCATGATTTACCTTGCACAACTGCTGTGGCTAACATGCTGTATTAGCAAAAAATTGTCTATACAGGGACATCTCGGTCGTTTGTTTAATATAAATTCATTATTAACCCTAGCATGTTCCACCATCTCCTGCAGTACAGGAAACATGCTTTAAGTACAAGCGATGTATTTTCCTCTGATCCAGCCACCAGATGATTTCCAATACAATATGGTCCAAAGAAAGCTTCAATGAAGAATACTCTTGTTCGTCTTTTCTCTTGGCTCCAAAGGGCAGCCTCATCCTCTTGGGACGTCCTCTACCGGAATGACTTTCAAGGTCAAGCAAGGACAAGAATGATCAAATATGGGAATTTGGGATTTACCCATGGTTTGGTAAAGAAACTATTATAATGCCAGATTACTTATTTACTATCAAAATCAGGCACAACATAACCTCCTTAAGATAGCAAACAATCCAATTGGATTTTATCCAGATCTTTTTGTGGTGATGCTGATTCATAAAGTCCAACCCAATACACTCAAGATTCAACATAACTGTACATGCAAGTCAATATACCCCAAAGCAGGAGCATTCCTTTTTAGCAGAGAGATGGGAGGACAGACTACAGTATAAAATGAAAACTCAGAAGGTGGGATATACACAGATGAAATTATTAGCTGCAAAAAAAAGTGCAATACAATTTTCTACAAGTTCATTTTACTTGTTTGTTTTCTTGGATACAGATGAATTAATAAGTGAATCAAGTAAAGTAAATCCATTAAACACAAACTAATTCCAACATTCTCACACAACAAGGGAGAGAATATGTCAGAATTTTAGCCCAGGTGTTAGATAATCTACGGCGACCCACCTCAAAGGTTGTTGAGGAGAGCAGTAGGCAAGAAATACCTGAACTGAAAGCCTTCAATAGTCTAGTTTCTGAAATAAAAACAAGCCTAACTTAAATTTCTGCAGTTTCAACAGGTCAAGTTATTGTACCATTATAAAGAAGAGCGACTTATTTACTCCCTATTCACTTGCTAACTCTATACATAACATACATTTTTAATGCAACACTGAAATATGTGAAGTTTTATATTCTTTAAATACATAGCAACAAAATGCAGCATCTTGTAGCAAAGTATTATTTTAAACTTTCCAACACTGAGGCATGTTCCTTAACTTTTAGTCTTGTGTAAATCGTGAAAATTATTTTTATTTAATGTACACAATATGCAAATAAACAGAATCTTACACTACTTGCTTGTTTGTATTTATGTGAAATGTGCATTTTGTTATGAAACAGCTTTACTGATGAAGTACCTTAGGGTAGTTTAACTTTAAGTCTAAAAAGTTTTAAGAGAATTTTTTTCTTTCCACTTTTGAAGGCTCAGTTTAACATATTGATATATAAATAGGAACCACAAGACAGACGTTATGAAGATAATGACAAATCTATATATATAGTTTACTATGAATCAATATTCCAATTAACAATTGGATGTGTACCAGCACTTGCATACACTGTGTTTAGAAGCTATTTTTGGCTTACTGTAGAAGAAGTAGATGCAGCTAAATAATCAGAAGTGGCACTTTGTCTATGCAGCTGTCAAGTACATGCGAAGGAGGTTCTAAGCGCAATGGGCATCCAGCTCCATACCTGGTTGAGAGCCAGCCAGTAATTTAGACCCATCATGATTAATCAGCAGCTGTTAGCTTTAAATTCCTTTGTCAAATATGTGGGGCTCTTGCCTGGGAGGCTCCACAGTGTGTGCATACTGTAAGTTTTAATTTTGGTGGTGCAGAGCATTCCCTGCACAAAATGTGGATACAACAAGTTAAATATTTGTGACTGAGTCAGAGAGGTGATGCCTCCTCTGTAATTTTCATAGCAATGGTTTCTGTCATTGCTGCTGTTGTTTTAGAATGCATTATTTTAAATGTCAAATATACAAACGGCTCTCTGCATGGTGTAACAGCCCAGGTGGCAGCATAAAACATCACAGAACACACACACACGTACACTTGAGAAATATCAAGTGGCAACATTTCGTCTCATTTAAAGTGGTAATTTGTGAGAGTCTTGCATTTTGCCGTGGGCAGCATGTGGTGTTTGGTGCTAAGCAGTTATTGCTGTGGAGACATTGCAGTGCATCTTATTTTTGGCAGTCAAATTGTGTAATGAGTACTGAGTTGTCTCTTAACTTGAATTTTAATTTTCTGTACTTGTCCTGTCATAATTGTTTTTCTTCTGCCAGAAATTGATTACATTCCATTGTAAGAAAATATTTTTTCCTGGACAAGATAACAGCAAATACAAAACTTTCATTGTGGCTTTAGCATTAAACTGGGGGTAGGCACGGTTTCTGTAAAGATTTCTAATGTCCAGTTCAACACTGTTTAGCTCAACTATTAGAAATTACCATGATAGTAATGATAAAGACAAAAGGCAAACGTGATTATAAAATAACCAAGTCAAAGACGGTGTGCCAAGGTCAAGATCAGCCAGCATCATTTGTTGGCAGCCTATCATTTTGCACAGGGAGCAATGAATTCACCACTCTCTATTAAGAATAGATGAACTCATTTCATTTACCAAGGAGTCTGACTGGATTTTGAATTACAAGAGCAGGCCTCATTTATGGTGAATATTGTCTGAACCAAAATCCTTTAAGGAGTGTTCTCCAACATACAGTATAAGCATTGTTCCATAAAATTCCAAACATTGCTCCACACGTGATAAGCTTGCTAACACTGCTCAGTAGACAACAATCATTTTACTTTGTATGTAGGCTCCTTATACCATTCAGTGTGATTACATAAAGCCTAATATTTACCGGTACCATCATTTTGTCATAACTTTACACATTTGCATACTTCCTGTTCATGTCACAGGGATGATCTGCAGTCTTCTCTTACCTGGTTCTAAATGAATAACAACATGTTAACACCCATATCTACTGTATGACTTCATTTCCAAATGAAAGCAGTTAGGAATCAATATAGTTAACTGTTTATTTTCAGATGTGAGAAGCCCCAGTTAATTGCCTTAAGGGTTTCCTTGAGATACTGTAGGATTCAAACATAGTGCCCTTATTTATATGTGCAACAAAGTCATGTTTCAAATTTCTAAAACTTTTTCTACCATTACCATAAAACTCAACAGTCCCTGAACTGTTGATATTGTCACTGTGATGCACAGCACCACCAGCACCAATGGCATTAGTGTGCATGTGTCCTGTTGACTGATGACAATTAAGTAACTGCTGTTACACACCGGTAACAGCAGCAAATAGGTAATGCACCACTTCCTTTGCATTGGCTGAATAAATTATAATGATATTCTCTCCTGAAGCTTTTGAGTTCTTAAGAGAAAACAATTAGGTGGATTAATCAAACATCTGGTATTCTCTTGGGATAGGTGTATGCAAAATAAAGGTGTTAAGCACATGAGTTAAGTTAAGTTTTTTAATTATTTGTTGGCATTTTCTAATTCAAAATTGCATCATGAAGGTATTAAATTGTGTGCTAGAAAAGAAGGAAGAGGAGATGGGTTTCATGAGGTAAAGTGAAAAAGATGCCTTCAACAAATTTAACAACTTTAATGGTACCACCAGTCAAAATATCTGCATTAGTTACAATCAGAAATCTGATGTTCAAAGTTTGAAAAACACTATGACAGTCTCTACTCTTTGATAAGGATTTTGTACCTTAGCATGCCCTTTATAGCACAGTGCAGGCAAAGTCTCTCTATAATAAACAGGCTCCATGCTCACAGCTGCTTTCATTACTGTTCATTCAATACATGCTGTGTCCAGGGATCAATATTTCTTCACCTTGTGCAGCACAGATGCCAGATTAGATGCATCTCCAAGGGCAATAATGAGGGGTGCCTGAACCTGCTTCGCACAAATGTGTGTCTTTAAACAGATCTGTGTGAGAGAAATCAAAACCAGGTGTATTAGAATTATAACAATGTTTGTGATATCTGTGTTTAAAGAGAGACATTTTTCATTAAACAATATTAAAGCATTTAGTCCTACGTATTATACGATATATG